GGTGGGGCACGGGCCAAGGCGGCGGCGCGGCCGTCAGGAGCGGGTGTACGAGTGGTTCGGGCTGGTGCTGGGCTCGGCGCAGCGCCTGGAGTTCATGTGCGGGCTGCTGGACCTGTGCAACCCGCTGGAGCTGCGCTTCCTCGGCTCGTGCCTGGAGGACCTGGCGCGCAAGGACTACCACTATCTGCGCGACTCGGAGGCCAAGGCCAACGGCCTCTCGGACCCGGGGCCGCTGGCCGACTTCCGAGAGCCTGCGGTGCGCTCGCGCCTCATCGTCTACCTGGCGCTGCTGGGCTCAGAGAACCGGGAGGCCGCTGGCCGCCTGCACCGCCTGCTGCCCCAGGTGGACTCGGTGCTCAAAAGCCTGCGCGCCGCCCGGGGCGAGGGCTCGCGGGGCGGCGCGGAGGACGAGCGCGGCGAGGACGGCGACGGCGAGCAGGACGCTGAGAAGGACGGCTCGGGCCCGGAAGGCAGCCGCGCGGAGCTCCGGGCCGGCGGCGGGCTCGGCTCCAGGGCCCAGGAGGAACTGCTGCTGCTCTTCACGATGGCCTCGCTGCACCCGGCTTTCTCTTTCCACCAACGGGTCACCCTGCGGGAACACCTGGAGAGGCTCCGCGCCGCGCTCCGCGGGGGCCCCGAGGACGCGGAGGTGGTGGTGGAGCCGTGCAAGTTTGCCAGCCCCAGGGCCCAGGTAAGGCGCGCGGAGCCTCCCGGGACTCGGCGGTGAGGTTGCTGCCCCGGCGGCCTCCCCGGCCTGGCTCTCGGACGCCTCTTGCCCGAGCCCCCAGCCCGGCGCAGGTGGCCTGGAATCCCCACCCCGCGGCTCCCAGCGCCGGAGGGCTCGGCTTCGTCTCGCTGGGCCGTTCCGTTCCACTCCACCACCCCACCCCGCACCCCGGCACATTCAGCCACCCGCCATCACAGAATGCTCTAGAAGTCTCTTCCGTGCCACGGAGTTGCCACGGAAGACGTGGAGCTCCCGGCCCGGGGCCCCTGTCGGAGGAAGAGTGTCGGGACGTTTTTGGCTCTGAGCATCTCACTGCTGGGTGCGGGAGCTGCGGGGCGCTGGAGGAACCTGTGCTAGAGCCGCAGTGAGCCCCGGGCTGCGCCGTCTTTCCTCCCCCGCCTGGCCGGCGCTCCGCCTCCCGTCTCGGGGCTAAGCCGGGCCCTCGGCGTGGTGTCCTGAAGGTACGCTCCGGGCGAGCTGCCCTTGTCTCGGGCACAGAGGGACTTTTTTTGCCTGGTGTGTGCCTGAGTTAAAAGGCGTCGTACGGGTCCTTGTGGCTCCTGCTCTGAGGGCTTGTGTTGCCAGCAGACATCTGATGTAGAGACCTGCGAAGGGACTGAGATGAATAGTAAGGCACGTTGTCCGGGTAGAGAAACCTCTCTTGGCGCGGTCTGGGATGCTCTTTCTTTCTGGCATACTCGCTTTCTCACGGGCTTGATTCCTGCCTACAGATTTGGGTTCCGGGATATTTGTTGGGCGTTTACTATAGGCGTTAATGTTGCCCAAAAGAGTTAAACACCAAAATGTAGCAGACGGGAATCCAGATGAGCTACTTGTCGTGAACGTTAAAGACGAATTTTTATACAGCCATGAAAGCAATTTAATGATAGAGCCCAGTGAAGTCTTCGAGGAGGACTTTTTTATGGGAAGGGGAGTAGGAGTAGGTTTCAGTAAGAGTGAGCACTGTAAAATGAGATTATTTTAGGGAGGCCACAGACTTTTGAAAGGTGTTGATTTGGATGCCATGCTTTTCAGCTTAGGTGATCTGTAGGAGACAGTGGAAAAGGGGATTTCCTCCTCCTTGCTTGAAAGGTAATTCAGCACATTTATCTGCTGTCATTCAGTACCCCAGAGCTAACATTGGGCGTGGTATTTCACTAGTGGCCTTGTGGACTCAGTGCCCATGCAATCAAGGAATTTGGGGCTGGAAGGAATTTAATCTAGCCTGAGCCCCTCTTATTTAAAACGAGGCTTCTGTGAGGTAACTAACTCATGTTTTGGGACGTGTTTTATGAAACGCAGATGTAACGCTAGTGCCCAGCATTATCTCGGTGAGTTCGAAATTTTGTCACCTTCCAGTGCCTGTTTACTAACTTGCAGTGTGTGTGCTAATGGCAAAAGTCTCTTCCACCCTTCTTGTTAATTTCCCAAAAGTCCTATATGCCGCACAGCCATTAAATTTAGAAACAAAAACACAGATTCAGGCACAATGGTTTAAAAATTTTAAATGTTACTGTAATAACACAGTATTGTAAAGATAGCCTTAAATTTTGGGCCCAAAGAAAATGTCCCATAGTCGAACGTCTTACATCATTCCATTCATTTTATTCCAACGGGGTACCTGATTTTTGATTTTAACTGTTGGAAGTCTTTTTTTCTTTCTTTAAATTTCGCTTTTAATGCGCGTGTTGGGGGCAAGTAGAGGAATGGGAGAGATGCGTGCAGACCAGAGTAATGAGATTTTTATCTTGACTGCAGTGCGTGGCCTTTTCTGCAACCAGTGAGTGCTGGGACGGATGGATAAAGTGAGGTGGGGCATCCTGCCATTAATGTCAGCACATCACTGCTTCTCAGACGTGTCCTATGCTGTGGCCATCAGGTGAAGTGGAGGAATAAATCATAGGGGGCCGCGTACTACAGGTGACACTGGGCTATTTCTAGGCGCGTGGTGGGGTGGCGAACTTCTCCAGCAGTTGTTTATGGTTACCGTAACACGTCATTCACTTCTCATTAAGTTGTTACGACCCCGCATTTCCTGCTGTTTAGAGTGGCCTCCGAGTCCCTAGCTGTGGCTTGTTCTGGCTTTGAGGACCTTTTATCTGATGTTGTTGCTCCCAGGCTGTCATTCCAGAGGCCGCTGATGCGGGTGGGCTGAGGTAAGCCCTCATTCGCTGCGGTCCAGCCCAGCTGTGTTCGGCCTTCCGCCGCCGCCGCCGTCAGCAGGGAGGAGCCCGGGCTCTCTCGACCTCGGAGTGGAACCGCCGCGGTCCACCCGAGGGGCCTGGAGGTCACGCGCTGCCCGGGGCCAGCGCACGGCGATCTGGGGCCAGTCTTGCGGGGCTCCTCCCCTCCCCCGCCCCCGCCCTGCAAGATGGCGGCCTCGCGCGCCGCCCACGTGACCTTCGTGCCGGCCCCGCCCCCGGCAGTCTCGGCCTCTCCCAGCGGAGGCCAGGCCCTTGGCTAGCGCGGGAGACTTCCAGCCCGACTGGAGAACCACGTGGATGCTGCGCTCCGCAGTGCTTGGCCCTGGCGATAACCCTGGGAAAGGGAAATTGGTGTGGCAGCATTTATTTTTTTTTTTGTCCCGGAAGTAACCTTTTAGACACAAGTATACAACTTTAATCGAGAGTCAATTCTTTCTTTGAACTACCGTCCAAGTGAAGCTCTTTGGTGAGCCAAACGACCTATTTTCAGCCTTACTAAATGGTTAACATAAAATTAATGTCCTTGTAATTCTCTTTTCTATAAAAGTAGGAGTATACTGGCCAAGAAGAGCGTACCTGGCTCTCACAACACATTTGTATCCAGTACTGAGTCAGCATGTCTTTTAAAACATTTAAAAACTAATGACGTCTACAGATAGAACATGTCTTTAATGCCAGCTTTATGTTACATGCTTTGAAGTTGACAGGGTCCAGCAACTGTAACTGCTAGTATCATGCCGTGGTTACATTGTTAATAGTTGAAGTAACAGCAGGTCCACAGGTTGACAGAATATACTTTTTATGTTACATTGGAAATATAGGAAAACTTAACAAGGATGTTTTTACTTTTAATAGTAACATTTCCAGAGTTTTTCTATGTTATTTGGATGATTTTATAGTAAATATTATATTGGATTACAACTTAAATGTCAGCATTCTTTTTAGGAGGATTGTACATAAATCTCACTTTCTTCACACAGCCGCAGTGGGTTGCCAGTAACTTGTACAAAATTCAACAAATAGGCCAGGGAGTAGTATTTAAGGCACCCATTAACAGTGTCCTAGGAACTCTGTGTGATTGATACAGGCCTGTGTGACGAAGTTACAGACTGCTTGTATAGCATAGCTGAAAACGCTTAGTTTTTAAAATGGGTCTCTTCCGATTATTAGGAAGCCAAACTATAGATTGTGTGTTAGCAACAAAAAAATGCATACGTATTTTAAAATGTACTAGTTGTGTTGCTGTTACGTTGAAAAGGCAGGAAGCAAGACAGGGAAGCTTCCAGTTTTTGCAGGCTTAAAGACATTCTTTAACTGTTCGGGGGAAATCGGTATTCTAATTTTGGAGGTTTAATCCCCAACTAGCGACACAAAGGTGTAAGAAGCATAAAACACGTAAACTGTCATAGTAGTGATTAATAGGGTATGGCGATTCTCTGGAGATTGTGTCATCAGGATCTTCCAAGCTTAGTTGCTTGGCAAATAGTACTAGTGGTTGAAAGATAAAAATGTAAACTTTCGATACTAAGGCACAAAATCATCCTGTGTCTTCGTATTATTTGAACTCACAAAACATATTTGACCTTGTCATTTGAACTCACAAAAATCAAGTAGCTGTGGGTCCTTCACATAGTAAAATTAGTGAATTTCGTTTTTTAAAAAACCTTGCAAAATAGTTACTTTTTGATAGCATAGTTTAGTTAACTAAATTGTACTTGATAGACTAAGTACTTTGATTAATTTTGCAATACAGGAAACATATTGCAAGAAAACTCTTCAATGAGTTTTAACATAAAGGATGTTACTTCAAGATAACTTGAATGTGGATGTGGCAGCCAGAATCCTGGTGAGAGAGTAATTGACTTAAAATGAGACGGAAAAGGTTGATTTTCAGAATTTCAGTTATTATTGTAGGCACTAAAAAGATGCTTTTTTGGCTGGGCGTGGTGGCTCATGCCTGTGTAATCCAAGCACTTTGGGAGACCGAGGCAGGTGGACCACCTGAGCTCAGGAGTTCAAGGCCAGCCTGACCAACAAGGTGAAACCCCATTCCTACTAAAAATATAAAAATTAGCCAGGTGTGGTGGCAGGCACCTGTAGTCCCAGCTACTCCAGAGGCTGAGACAGGAAAATCACTTGAACATGGGAGGCAGAGGTTGCAGAGCACCGAGATCACGCTACTACACTCCAGCCTGGGCGATGGAGAGAGACTCTGCCTCAAAAAAAAAGAAGCCTTTTAAAAATGACCAGTTTTAATGTTCATTGGTAATAATACATACCTTTTTTTTTTTTTTTTTTTTTTTTTTTAACTCACTGGATCGTGCTACTGGGTTATTTGATACTTTAAAGTGAATAGTGTTGTTGAGGCAGTGGTGCTGCCTGAGGCTTCCCATCCACCATTCTGGAAGTGTTAGGATTCAGTGAAGCAGTTCTTACTTGCAGAATAGTGTCTAGTTCATGGTCTTCAATAAATGTTAGCAGTTGCAGTTGAAGGCTCAGCCTTGTGTGGATGGGTGGTAGAGGAGTGGGCACAGCATCTCACATACTGAGAGTGAGCCAGAAACAGCTGTATCTTTTCTGGAAAATTTTAGGTTGGTTTGGCTAAAGCAAAGAATAAAAACAGTTCAGTTATAAAAGCCATTTAGAGGAGGTTTTTTAGAATATATGAGAGTTAAATAGTGAATATTTTAGTAGGAAATAATTATTAAAATCCTGAGTTTCTTTCCCAGTTACATTTTTTAATGCAATCATTTTCCAGGT